GCCGATTGATTGAGCCTGGCGCTGACGGAAATTGCCGAAGGGGTTCGGCCGAAGCGGCCGGGTGAGCCAGCAGATCTCGCGTGAAGGAGGAGGCAACTCTCGCGAGGGCTGGAGCCAGCAGAAGGCGTTGCTGCAGCCGGAAGTGATGAAAGCAATAGTCCCTCAGTCCCTAACGTCCGCACGGGCTGTTAGGTTGACTCGTCTGGGATATTTCCTGCTCCTGCAGCTTCGGCCCAGAGCATAGCGCAGCTGAGCGTCGCCAGGCCCCCACCCACCGGTGGACGGGCCGCGGCGGCGCAGGCTGTGGGGGAAGGGCGGGGGGTCTCGGTGGTGTTTTGAGACAGGTGGGAGAAGGGAGGCTCCGCTCCTGGGGGGCAGCCCCGCCCTTCGGGCTCGTGGCAGGGCGCGCGGCGCCCCGTGTGGAACGGACGACGTCATCGTCACGTGGCGGAGCCCGGGGGAGATCCCAGATGTGTAATCGTGTCTGGGGTCTGGGCCTTTCCCAGCCGTTCTGCGCCCCCTCCCGGCAGGAGGAAGGATTAGGTTTTGCACTGTCCCCTCCAGCCTGTCCTCCTGTCTGTTCAGGCTTCAGAGCTGATGCGAGACGTGAGTAGGCCGTGTCACCTCAACACTCAGGTGCACCTGGAGCCTTGTGACTCAGCTAGTTTCTGGGGCCTGCCTACACCCGTACCCCACCTGCTCAACCTTCAGTCTCTGCCTGAGAGCAGCTGCTGAGGACAAGCCCCAGCAGCCTCATACCATACTAGCAGGGACAGGTGGTGGACTGTGCTTGGACCCATCACTGCCAGAACATGTCACTGTGATTACATTGCACAGTACATTTGTTCATTTCTTTAACAAGATGCTTTAGCCTTTACTACATGGCCCGACTTAAGTCACAAGTCTGTGGTCCGATTATTTGCTACTGTAAGCTCTTAAAAATATGGATTGTGAAGGCTTCACTTAAATGGTGAATAGAAGTCCCTACAGCACTTGGAAAGTGCCTCTGGAACTGGGTCTGAGTAAGGGAGTATCTGTCCCAAAGAGATCCAGAACAGAGGTTTTAACACAGGTTTATTTTCCCCATTTGTAAAAGTGATAGTATTTACCTATCCTCTGGGTTGTTGCAAGGTTTGGTAAAAGTAGGTTATGGAATGACGTAGATGAGGGGTGTACAACATAAGCAAAACAGTGAGTTTGTGGTGTTGCTAGGCAGCTGCTTGTTAATCTGTATATGCCCCTGCCCAAACAATCCAGTTTCCTGCTTGCATATGTGATGAAGCTCCTTTACAATGCCCAAATACTGAAAAATCCAAACTTGGCTCTTAATTCCATTCAGACAAGTGCTTCAGGAAGCCCTGTCCCCCAGCAGGATGGAAGTAGCAACTTCAGTAACCGGAACAGTAGTTCACTGGCTAAAGCAGGGGTGGCCAACCTGCAGCCTATGCACTTCAAGTGGCGCAGGAAGCCCCTGCTTGTGGCAGATCAGGGAGGGGACAAGCAACAATGGATGAGATCAGAAGCAGAAAAGCAGCAGTAATTGGGCAGGGAATCAGTGTAGCACACCTGCCAAAAAGGTTGGCCCCTATGGGCGCATCCACACATGCAAGCACGTGCACTTGCAGCAGCTCAAATAGAAGTGGTGCAAATTTGAGGTGGGGCTTTTTGCCTTGGTGCACATGCCTGGACATGCACTTTGGTGTGGGGCAGATTGTGCCACTTGGGGCAAAACAACCCTGCCTAGCTCCTCCTGGATCTGCAGGCAGAGGGAGCTAGAGCCTAGCAGTATAAAAAGCTGACCTGTCCAGTAGCTCAGGGCTCCTCACTCTCAGGAGCTTCTGAAGTCCAGTCAATTGGTACCTGTGGACACTACCCCTTGTGCCAGCTGGACTGCTGAAGCAGCCTTGAGAGTTCCCTTCACCCACTACAGCAGTCTGGCAGTGGGGGCTGCTGCCTGGCTGTGACCTGCTGTGCACTTGCCAGGCCCAGATTGGGACTGCACAGCCAGTAGAGGCATCTGCCCCTCTGGGTCATCTGCCAGTGTGCCATGGCTGCAGAGTTTGCCTTTGTGTGGCACTACTGCCATGTGTGCCCCCTGCCCAGCCATCTGGGCAGCTGTCACCCAGAAGATGTTTCCAGTGTGGTGACCTGCTTTAAACTGTTAAAACATGTCCTCCTGGCCCCAGGAGGCCAGCCACAGTCAGCTGGGTCCAAGGTGCCAGCTCTGAACAGGCAGGGTCCTGCTACTTGCCTCCCTAGCACGAATTCTGGTGTTCCCTATTTGAAAACTGAAAAACCCCTGATAAAAAAAAAAAATCTCGAAGTCACTCTAAAACACCCCAAAATCTATGTTCCTCCACAATTAAAACAAAAGACGGCTATAGAGAGAGTGTGAGAGGCAGTGATCAGTTGGGCAATGTTTTACTGATATCTACAGTGTTAAAGCAATTTGGAAGACTACCAGTGTCTCTGTCGTAATAATAAAGTGAATTCTAAATACATGTTTAATAAATACATGAATATATGTTTTGCTGCCCCTGCAGGGGCTACCATCCCCGCTTGTTCCCTCAGCCCCCTGGATTGCTGCCTTGCCTGGCCCCATCCCCCACCAGCTCTTGCAGTCCCCCCTGCCCCCCCCCGGCTGCCTCCCCAGCCCCCTTCTCCC